CTCACTAGCCTACTGATTGTCCATACGGCACATATCTTGTAGAATCTTGGCGAGTTGTGTGTCTTAATATCGCAATTAAGAGTCTGTGCGTCTGAACACACAAATATATCACGCCTTGGTGTGTCCGTTAGCAAGAAGGGAGTCCCCTGAACTGTTTTTAATACAGCTTGACTGATAATTTAGCTATAATTTATTTGCATGCGGCCAGACACACACACACATTCTGTCCATTTGATTCTTATATTGGTTTTGTGGGGTATTTTTGGAAAGGTTTGGCTCCTAAATACCTATTCGGTTTTTTGTTCCCAAAGTAAAAATATTCCTACCTTTTTTAAAAAGGATTTCATTTCATTTGTAATTTGATTAAGGAGGGAAAAAAAACTACAGTTGATTTTCTTTGGGAAGTTCCGTTTTGACGTTCCGAGCCCTATCGAGTTGTTTTAAAAATGGCTGGTAAAAATGTAAATTTAAACGTTGGCAAATGCTTCCTTGTGGCCTCTTCGTTTTAATTGACCGGTTAAAATGTTATTCTCATTAGAGACTAGGATTTTTTTTTTCCCTTGCAGAGGTTTTGACTTTTCTGTGGTACTTGCTTAGCATTTTAAAGTAATGGCTTTTTTTTTTTAATTAGGGTTATGCTCATATTTTAAATGTTACGGTTTATTTTAAATGTCGCGGCCGCTATAAAACGGTCTTTCTGCCTCGTTCCTTCAGTGCAGAAGTTGACGTCCAATAAGTGGGTCACTTTGTGGCTTTGAAGGTTTTACTTGCGTTAGGTAATCCTCTGATTCTCCAATTAGGACATCATCATCAGAGTTGGAAGGGACCCTGGAGGTCTTCTAGTCCAGCCCCCTGCTCTAGCAGGAGACTCTACTCCATTTCAAACCAATGGTTGTCCAGTTTCTTCTGAAAAACCTCCCGTGATGGAGCACCCACAGATTCTGGTGGCAAGCCGTTCCGCTGATTAATTGTTCAGGCTGTCAGGAAGTTTCTCCTTAATTCCAGGTTGCTTCTCTCCTTGATGAGTTTCCATCCGTTGCTTCTTCTCCTGCCTTTTGGGGGGCTTTGGAGAAGAGGTGGACCCCCCCTCTTGTTTGTGGCAGCCCCTCAAATATTGGAAAACTGCTATCCTGTCAACCCCCTATTGCTTCTTTTCACTCAATCAGTCACACCCAATTCCTGCAACGCTCCGCAGGGTTGGCACTCAAACTGCTGGCTTGGATAGCTTTCAAGATCTGTTCGTGCGATCTGTGGAACCTCCCGCCTCAGTAGCAGTCTATCCCTGAATGCCAGTTTTGCCGGGAACGGCTCTCTTTGATCCAGTCCAGCACTAATCCTCTGAAATCCTTACGCTTCCTCCACCTGGGTCTTTTAAACTGAAAAGTACTTTGGGAACGGTCCTGGGTGGCAAATAAAATCCAGATGGCTGAGGAAGATCTGAACCCTTCCACCCATCATGTTCCCTTGTACGCGGAGTCCGGAGGACGAACGGACACAGCGGCTTTGTTTGCCCGCTTGACCTAAGAGGTTTTCTGCCAGGCATCCCTCGGTGCCACCAGGCGCTCTTTTTGGCAACAAAGGGCATCAGTCCCTCGTGTTTCATCTTTCAGCCCCCCCAAAAAATATATTAAAACTGTCGAGGTCGCCGTTCAGCTGTCTATCTAGAGATGAACACCTGCAAATCCTATTAACATCCCAGTCAGAATTGGGGGGGGGTGTTTCTATTTGAATACCCCCTCTCTCAATTTAAGGAATTACGCACCGACTGTCAGCTCTGAAGCTGAAAAAATTCAATTAATGTTGACTTGGAGAAGTTTTGATTTGAGACGTGATGGATAATTTTAATTTCTTTTGGGTGCCACTGGCGGCGGGGTGGGCACCCAACAAGAGGTATTCAAACCATAGAGGTAGATCTGTAATTTGGGAAGGGGTTAAATACCTTTATTTAACACCTCCCCAAACGAAACATGATGATTATTGAAAACACCCAGCGGTTGAAGTATGGCGGCCAAACCCACACATCTGTTGCTCTGCTGCAGTTTCATATCGTGCGAGCTGACCTGCCGACTTCCCCTGTCAGATCAGAATAAAATAAAAACCAAATCAAACAAAACAGTGCTGTCACTTTTTTTTTTTCTCCGCCGCCGCGGTGCATGTCAAAACGTTTTATTTTTATTCCCCTTTTAAAAGGGCGCTTTGCCCTTCCACCCCAAAAAAACGACACAAAGATCAATTGGACTTGTCTAGACGCTTCGGAGCTGCTGTCAGTTTTCCGGCGAAAAGCGCAAAAAAGGAGAGTCCTTTTTCCTGAGGGTTTAGCAGCCTCGGAATGAACGAACGATTAAAGTTTTTAATTCAAACCTTAAACGAAATGAAAGATTTGCCCTTTGTCCGGGATGGTATAAGGTCCACCACCTTGGGTAAGGGGGTTGGACTAGATGACCTCCAAGGTCCCTTCCAGCCCAGTGTCTCTGTGATTCCATATGAAGAATCCATACAACAAGATCTACGGAGATCTATTCTCTATAGATCTCGCCAGCTATTAAAACAGAATTAGGTGCCGTTTTAAGAGAACACATCGCTCAGATCCAGCTAGGCAGTAACTAAGAAAACGAGTCAACGCAACCGGAAACTTAAGGTAATAAAGAATCATTAGATTGAGTTGCAATTTGGGGTTGAGATTGACAAAAGACGTGCGTTCGGACACTATCGCTGCGAGGTAATGAAGGAGAAATAGCAGGCCCGGCCTGGAGTAAATCCATCACACAAGCAGATTTACTCCATTCGCAAATCCGGCATCTTTTTCCCCCTCCCTGGAATGCAGTGATATATTGATTTTCACACCAAGTCTGTGTTTTGAGATGCAGCTGGCAGCTAAAACAAATGCCTGCAAAATTCCACGCTGGGATTTGCAGCTGGGGAAGGCATTTTTCTCAACCCACACGGCGATTTGCCCATAAAAGCTTCATTGTCTTGACCTCTGAAAATCGAGCGTGCGGGTGCGATGCACACGCCCTTTAGCCTAACAAATCTGTGTTTTGTTTTGTCTCTTTTTCTCTTTCTTTCTTTCTTTCTTTCTTTCTTTCTTTCTTTCTTTCTTTCTTTCTTTCTTTCTTTCTTTCTTTCTCCCTTTCTCCCTTTCTCCCTCCCTTCCTTCCTACCTACCTTCTTCCTTCACCCCTCTCTATCTTTCTCCCTCNCTCACTAGCCTACTGATTGTCCATACGGCACATATCTTGTAGAATCTTGGCGAGTTGTGTGTCTTAATATCGCAATTAAGAGTCTGTGCGTCTGAACACACAAATATATCACGCCTTGGTGTGTCCGTTAGCAAGAAGGGAGTCCCCTGAACTGTTTTTAATACAGCTTGACTGATAATTTAGCTATAATTTATTTGCACGCGGCCAGACACACACACATTCTGTCCATTTGATTCTTATATTGGTTTTGTGGGGTATTTTTGGAAAGGTTTGGCTCCTAAATACCTATTCAGTTTTTCGTTCCCAAAGTAAAAAAATCCCTACCTTTTTTAAAAAGGATTTCATTTCATCTGTAATTTGATTAAGGAGGGAAAAAAAACTACAGTTGATTTTCTTTGGGAAGTTCCGTTTTGACGTTCCGAGCCCTATCGAGTTGTTTTAAAAATGGCTGGTAAAAATGTAAATTTAAACGTTGGCAAATGCTTCCTTGTGGCCTCTTCGTTTTAATTGACCGGTTAAAATGTTATTCTCATTAGAGACTAGGATATTTTTTTTCCCTTGCAGAGGTTTTGACTTTTCTGTGGTACTTGCTTAGCATTTTAAAGTAATGGCTTTTTTTTTTTTAATTAGGGTTATGCTCATATTTTAAATGTTACGGTTTATTTCAAATGTCGCGGCCGCTATAAAACGGTCTTTCTGCCTCGTTCCTTCAGTGCAGAAGTTGACGTCCAATAAGTGGGTCACTTTGTGGCTTTGAAGGTTTTACTTGCGTTAGGTAATCCTCTGATTCTCCAATTAGGACATCATCATCAGAGTTGGAAGGGACCCTGGAGGTCTTCTAGTCCAGCCCCCTGCTCTAGCAGGAGACCCTACTCCATTTCAAACCAATGGTTGTCCAGTTTCTTCTGAAAAACCTCCCGTGATGGAGCACCCACAGATTCTGGTGGCCAGCCGTTCCGCTGATTAATTGTTCAGGCTGTCAGGAAGTTTCTCCTTAGTTCTAGGTTGCTTCTCTCCTTGATGAGTTTCCATCCGTTGCTTCTTCTCCTGCCTTTTGGGGGGCTTTGGAGAAGAGGTGGACCCCCCCTCTTCTTTGTGGCAGCCCCTCAAATATTGGAAAACTGCTATCCTGTCACCCCCTATTGCTTCTTTTCACTCAATCAGTCACACCCAATTCCTGCAACGCTCCGCAGGGTTGGCACTCAAACTGCTGGCTTGGATAGCTTTCAAGATCTGTTCGTGCGGTTTGTGGAACCTCCCGCCTCAGTAGCAGTCTATCCCTGAATGCCAGTTTTGCCGGGAACGGCTCTCTTTGACCCAGTCCTCTGAAATCCTTACGCTTCCTCCACCTGGGTCTTTTAAACTGAAAAGTACTTTGGGAACGGTCCTGGGTGGCAAATAAAATCCAGATGGCTGAGGAAGATCTGAACCCTTCCACCCATCATGTTCCCTTGTACGCGGAGTCCGGAGGACGAACGGACACAGCGGCTTTGTTTGCCCGCTTGACCGAAGAGGTTTTCTGCCAGGCATCCCTCGGTGCCACCAGGCGCTCTTTTCGGCAACAAAGGGCATCAGTCCCTCGTGTTTCATCTTTCAGCCCCCCCAAAAAATATATTAAAACTGTCGAGGTCGCCGTTCAGCTGTCTATCTAGAGATGAACACCTGCAAATCCTATTAACATCCCAGTCAGAATTGGGGGGGGGTGTTTCTATTTGAATACCCCCTCTCTCAATTTAAGGAATTACGCACCGACTGTCAGCTCTGAAGCTGAAAAAATTCAATTAATATTGACTTGGAGAAGTTTTGATTTGAGACGTGATGGATAATTTTAATCTCTTTTGGGTGCCACTGGGGAGGGAGGGGGCACCCGACAAGAGGTATTCAAACCATAGATCTGTAATTTGGGAAGGGGTTAAATACCTTTATTTAACACCTCCCCAAACGAAACATGATGATTATTGAAAACACCCAGCGGTTGAAGTATGGCGGCCAAACCCACACATCTGTTGCTCTGCTGCAGTTTCATATCGTGCGAGCTGACCTGCCGACTTCCCCTGTCAGATCAGAATAAAATAAAAACCAAATCAAAGAAAACAGTGCTGTCACTTTCCCCCCCCCCCGCCGCGGTGCATGTCAAAATGTTTTATTTTTATTCCCCTTTTAAAAGGGCGCTTTGCCCTTCCACCCCAAAAAAACGACACAAAGATCAATTGGACTTGTCTAGACGCTTCGGAGCTGCTGTCAGTTTTCCGGAGAAAAGCGCAAAAAAGGAGAGTCCTTTTTCCTGAGGGTTTAGCAGCCTCGGAATGAACGAACGATTAAAGTTTTTAATTCAAACCTTAAACGAAATGAAAGATTTGCCCTTTGTCCGGGATGGTATAAGGTCCACCACCTTGGGTAAGGGGGTTGGACTAGATGACCCCCAAGGTCCCTTCCAGCCCAGTGTCTCTGTGATTCCATATGAAGAATCCGTACAACAAGTTCTATGGAGATCTGTTCTCTATAGATCTCGCCAGCTATTAAAACAGAATTAGGTGCCGTTTTAAGAGAACACATCGCTCAGATCCAGCTAGGCAGTAACTAAGAAAACGAGTCAACGCAACCGGAAACTTAAGGTAATAAAGAATCATTAGATTGAGTTGCAATTTGGGGTTGAGATTGACAAAAGACGCGTTCGGACACTATCACTGCGAGGTAATGAAGGAGAAATAGCAGGCCCGGCCTGGAGTAAATCCATCACACAAGCAGATTTACTCCATTCGCAAATCCGGCATCTTTTTCCCCCTCCCTGGAATGCAGTGATATATTGATTTTCACACCAAGTCTGTGTTTTGAGATGCAGCTGGCAGCTAAAACAAATGCCTGCAAAATTCCACGCTGGGATTTGCAGCTGGGGAAGGCATTTTTCTCAACCCACACGGCGATTTGCCCATAAAAGCTTCATTGTCTTGACCTCTGAAAATCGAGCGTGGGGCGAGATGCGCACGCCCTTTAGCCTAACAAATCTGTGTTTTGTTTTGTCTCTTTTTCTTTTTCTTTCTTTCTTTCTTTCTTTCTTTCTTTCTTTCTTTCTTTCTTTCTTTCTTTCTTTCTTTCTTTCTTTCTTTCTTTCTTTCTCCCTCCCTCCCTCCCTCCCTTCCTTCCT